ATTAGTTACACCCAAAACCTTCAAGAGAACAAAACCATAGTCGAAATAGCTCACTTGCTAACAACACGTTGCTTCATCAGATTGTCGACGTTTCTTTATTGCAAATATTAAGATCAACTTGTTGGGAAATACCGAAATAGTGAAATACCCTTTTTCAAATTTCATACAATACCATCTTAATTTGGTGTAAAACTGATGATACATTGCTTTGCTTTATATTAGGCATACGGTTGTTCGCCCGGTTTAGCCCGAAAAAGCCAAGAGTTTTTATGGTCGGTAACTATATTTTTGTTTGGTTAAATATAGACCCAAAAACAAAAATTTAGATAACTAAGTATTTGAACAGTTTTGGAATTGTTAGAAATACATTTTCATTTTGGTTCGCGCTAATTCAAATTTATTTTGTTATTGTATTCAATTCGGATAATTCATTTGGGTTATGATGCTCTGTACAAATATTTGATTGCATAGAACGAGTGGCCAGATCAATCTTCGGGGTTGATTTGAAAATACGAGGGGAATACAAGGATACAAACGTAAATATATGCGAATGATTACACTAAAAATAAAATAAAGAAGCAAAGGTTTTTTTTTTGGTTGTAGAGAGGTATCAAAAAAAGGAAAAAGGAATTATGAGAAGAAAAGGAAAATGTTACCAGAAAAGATCAATCCATTAGTACGGACAAACTGTGGGGTCCACTTTTCCCCTCTTTCATCCACCAATGCCCTTTCGTTTCTCTCTACCTCGTATTTTAATCTCACGCGCCAATTTCACTTGAGTGTTCCTCACTCTTCGTTCCATAGGCGCGTGTCTATGCCACGCTCCTACCCGAGATGACGTTTGGTTTCTGACCACAATGCTGGAGCCAACTATACATTTGGTATTATAATAAGATTGGATTGTTAGATTCGTATATTTTGTGAGAAAAATCGTCATTCTTGACATCACCTCCATCATTTTCTATTCTTAAAATTTTAAGATATTGTTATTTTTTATTACTTTTTTTTAGAAAAACCTCCATAAAAATCAGTAAGGAATAAATTCAATTTTCTTTTGTTTTTTTAGAGAAACTAAGTAAGTGAAAAATACAGAAAAAGAGAGAAAGATGAAGGAGAAGGACTTGTGTCGGAAAGGGAAACATACAATTTTATTTCGTGTTTATGTTGGGTCCAGAGGAAAGAAGGACTAGGCTGACAAATTTAAAAACCAAAAATTTACGATTGCCACGTCACTATCCACTTTGTGAAATTACCGCGAAGTTACTACTATTATATGTATGTAACTATTTTCTTTTTAAGGAATGGATGAGGAATCGGAAAGTTTAACTCTTATCAAACGTTTCAGTAACTAATTTTCTGCATGAACAAAATATTAGATGCTATCAATAAAAGTACTATAAAAAGGAGTAAACGAAAATCAGTAAAACTTTCAACCAAATCTAAAATCTAAGCTCATAAAATGCTTTTTACATGACACGTTGTACATATTTTGAGTGGGATGCAATAACAAACATTCCAATAATGGCTTTCGTTGAACATGTTGCTTTCCTCAAGTGGAAACTACTGCTCTTCTCTCTCTATGTCCCACTATCTCTCTCTCCCTATGTATTTGTACACACACATATATATATATTTTTTATTGTTATTTGCATTTTTGTGATACTCAGAAGCTTGATTTTTTGGAGATGTGATATGCGTTGGATTTGATCTTATACATACATATCATATGATATATGTATGTGTATGTATATGCGTTTGTATGTCAATAATTGTTAAAGCCCACGGCCCACTTTACACCGAGATACTCTGTTTCTTATATCGCTTTCCTATAAAATAGGCCCACAAAAAACTATCATTACCTCGTTAATTTCCAAATTTTAAAAACTACTTCAACAAATGTATGCATGTCCAAATAAAACAAAACCAGATAAATGAAAATAAAATTCCTAATTTCGGCTGAGTTTATCAGACCCTTTATACTCCCCTCGTTATACGACATATAGATATGCCAAAAAGTGTACTACAACAACAGGTATTATTGAATGTAAAAAGTACGATAGATACCGAAGAAATCATTTCTACAATCTATAGACTTTTGGTTTCTATATAAAATAAAACAAAATTACATCCCCACAAGCCACAACGACCACAACGATGTCATTTGTAGTTGTTAACATGCCTAGTACATAAACAAGAAAATAAATATAGGAATTAATGCCTTTATCTACCTCAATCTACTTGCCTATGTGTTCACATAACGTGGACGAGTAACAATAAATTCATTTTTTCGTTATCCGTAGACAATGAATTCAATGTAATCTAGATTTTTACAGCAGACAGTTCTCATTCTCACATTGTATTGCTATAGTTGCGTTTGATACTACAGGTCCATAGATCAAATTATTATCACCATACAGTTGCCTGATCCGTATGCCTTTAACAGTAGCTGGTAAATGTAGTTTCGTTTATGGAGTTTTATGAAAATAGGCTTTATATATAGTTCTACAGAATTGCCAAATATATATCTTAGTATGTGCAGGATCTTTTCAGTGGAAGTTGAGGCAACATCTCTTATATAGAGGAACCTAAGTGTTAGAACGTATGAATGCTGCAATTGTTTTCAATTATTGAACTATACTATATATTTTGAGCATGTAATTTATTATTCCGGTAGTGTGTCATTAATGATACAACTACTTGAACCTTATATCTTGTATTAATGATATAATCCACATGCAGTTCTGATTTTACTAACATCAGGCAATGAGTATATATAACTATGTAACATGAATACTATAAATTATAATCACCACTGACATGACATAATATGAATAATAATCAAATCCAACTAAGCTAGTCATATCAAAAGGTTTTATTTTTAAAAACTGCAATCTTGGAATCGTAATCAAGTCCGAGATTAACGTACGTGGAAAACATCGGACGGCATCGATAGAATCTCGATTTGCGATGTTGTCCAAATCTTGTAGTATTAGGCTTCCAAATATCCCTTAAGTAGGATCCACTATTAATCTGTTTACGTGGCATTTAGTTTTTGTTCACTGTGGGGGCCATGTGAGCCAGCTGTGATAGTGGATACTCCTCGATGTCTTCACGAGATTTCATTTGAATTTGTTTCAATGTGGTAAATTGGTAATAGTTTTCTTTTTTTCTCTACAATACAATTCAATTGGATTCGACTAGAGTAGTGAAAGGATATGAAATACACGACTACGAAAAGTTAATATAAAGTTGTATGAGAAAGAAAAACTTAAGGAAAAAGAAAAGCAAGAGGATCTATAAGCTTTTGGAAAAGAAATAAAAAAAAAAAAAATCAAAATTACAAAACTTAATTATATTTTTGTGTTTTCTTTTTCATGAATTTGTGTAAACTTAATTAGCCAAACTATTTTTACTTTACTTTCATTTTAGGTTACTACGTCGTACTCGAAAAGGAAATATCTGTTTGTTTGTTTTGGTTTGCTCACGTGTCTAATATATTAATACAAAAATAGCAGACTAATCGTTTACGTAATCTTTGTATTAGAAAATGGTTTTTGATTGACTAGCTATACAAAATGGGAGATCGAACGTAAAACTATAAAAAGTAGCCTTCGAAAATTATGTAAAAAGATCAAAATCAGAAACATATGATCAAGGACTTGAATGATGCTTATAAAATAAACATTGATAAGAATAAATCGAAAAATAACCAAAGGACGGGTAGATGATTACGGAATAGGTTGGGGACAAATTAAAAGTTAGGGTTAAATTATTGAGAAGGAGAAAAAAAAAATCTAAAGGAGACGACAAAAAAGGGACAAAGGGAAACACGTTAATGTACAAATATAGTAAGGAGTCAGGAACTTAGGTACGATGTCCATACGTTTTGCGGTCCAAAGACTTTCCATTTCTGTAAATCTTTGAAATTAACCCCACTTGGTTTCCCAAACATCCTTCGACACCGACGACACATACACACGATTTATTTCTTTTAATTATGTTTTAATATCTAAAATTTATTTATTTTGGTACTACATCGATACCACACCCAAATTTTAGTACGGTCCCATTTGCAATAATTCACGTTAGTTAATGGAGGGACCAACGAGTTATTCCGACTTTTCAAGTTTTCATCAATATGGGAATCATTTCCTTTTTTCACTTTAATTTTTGCTTTAATTTTGTTTCGATGTTTCGGACAAAATAAACAAATAAGATGATGGATGATAGGTCGGGCCTAACTGAGGCTTAGGTAACAGATGCATTATGATTCTTTCGTTTTTAAGTCTGAAGAAAAAATCTTATTAAGGGTTGTTGACAAACACATTTATAACAACAATGCTTTACAAGAACTGCTAAATTTCATTAAAATAGCATCTTTCGTATTTTCTTTTTAGAGGAACAAACTTTGCATGCAAAATGTTTATGAAAGTAAGAAACAAAGAAAGAACAAATTACCCTTTTATAATCTAAAGAAAGAAAAGAAGAAGAACAAGGAACAGACGCGGAAAGACTCAAGTTCACTAGTTAATTAATCATGTTTACAGTCCGAGAGTGAATAACTTAAAAATGATATACAAATTTTAAACACCTTAAACTTTGAGAGTACCAATCAGAACCCTAGTATAATTTATTATACAATGTTTCTCTATGAACAACTTAGGTTTAAAGCGACGTGGGGTTTTTGAAAACTTTGTATTCAAAAGCACTATATATTTTGAAATTTGAATTCTTAATCCGATAAAGAAATTACTATAATATCTGAACTAATCATTAGACTAAATCTACATCCACGTCTTAGATCTATGTCTGGTTATCTTTAGGCTTTATGATGTGATGAGTAAAAGGAATTACATGGTGGTGAAAACCACCTACTGCGTCTACCAATATTTCAAATCACCTACGGTTAAACAGTAAACAGTAATATATTTTACAGGGGTATTTGGTTTTAACCGAAGCGGTTTAATTTGTATATTTATGGTTTGAAATATAAACCGGTTCGTTAATAGGAAATAAAGGATGACGACGAACAAAAAAGAATAAGGATGATGAGAAAAAGATAGTCAGTCACACTTCGCTTTTCCCAATACAAACAATCTTTGTGCGGTGACGCATATATCTCCTCCCGTCAATTTCTCTACTCTTACCCCCGGCGATCTCTCTCCGACGGCCAATGGAAGCCGTCTTCCACGCTGGTTCACTTTCCCTCACGCGCCTAGGCGCATCACACTCTGCTTCTTCTCCAACTCTTCTTCCGCCGAGATTTCTCGTTCTCGCCGTCCATCCTGCCCACAATTTCACCTTATCTCACAGCTTGCCTTCCAAGTCCCGGAGTGCTTCAGCTTTCGCCGCCGGCGTCACGTTGATGGCGAATTCCTCCTCGGTATGTTCCCTCACGTTGATTTCCAGTTCCAGATTCCCCTCTCGGTTTTGGGGAATTTTGATATGCATTTGATCGTTTGCGTCTTAGTTTTTGGGAATTTTGATAGATCAGGTGGTTAGTTTAGCTTAGATCATGTGAGATTCGGGATGATTCTTAGGGTGGTAGAATTTGAAGAAGCAAAGTCGCTTGGCCAATTTCTGAATTGGTTTGTTTACTTTCATGACGGGGATGGAGATATTTCTGAATTTGAACAGTTGCTAATTCGAAAATTGAACTCTCTTGCTTTAAATGTCCTGTATTGTTGGGTTTGATCCTCTAATTAGTGTGGTACAAGTAACTATGGAATTAGCTCGAGATTCTAAAGAGCATAGGATATATTTTGACTGTTGCTGTAGCCAAGAAGTGGAGTGTACACTGTTGGTGAGTTCATGACAAAGAAAGAAGACTTGCACGTGGTGAAACCTACGACCACTGTGGATGAAGGTAAGTCCATCAGATTGCTTGGAACATGCGTTGCTGTGTTTTTCTGTGTTTCAAGCTTAGGATCTCTTTTTTTTTCCTCTTCTCTACAGCTTTGGAACTCCTTGTTGAGAATAGAATCACAGGATTTCCTGTGATAGATGAAGACTGGAAATTGGTTAGTATCCACTTTTGTAGTTAAGTTCGTACGTTTGGAATCTAACATACTCATGGAGGTTAAGGTATTGGATGCTAATGAGGGAATCTTTGTTGCTCCAGGTTGGGCTTGTTTCAGATTATGACTTGTTGGCTTTGGACTCCATATCTGGTAAATGGGCCAGCTACACCACCACTTGGTTCTCTTTGTTTTCAAGATATGTTAATTTGGGTCTTTTTCGCTTATAAGTGGAGAAAGTAAGAAAGCTACTTGATCACATGGTTGGCATAAAGTCCGAATTATCAATGTTATGATGACCTTCCTGTCTCATTCGTTTGTCGAGATAGCACGCTCAATGTGAAATGATCAAAAAAAGCTTCTTCCCTCACTCTTGAAATCTTATTTGCTTGTTTCTTGCTTATCTAATAGGTAGTGGAAGAACAGAAAATTCCATGTTCCCTGAGGTTGACAGCACCTGGAAAGTATGTGTGGCCCTCCTCTCTTTTTCCTATTTAACATTTTTGAACCTGAATTGCTTTTCAAAACACTCAATTCACTGTTCTCATTCGCCTGGTTCACATTATTAGCAGTAGCTAGTGTCAATTTCAACTTTTACAAAGAATGTGTTTTTGATTGACGCATTTACCATGCACATAACTTGAGCTAATGACAAAGCCATGTTAATGTTACATTCAGTTCCCTAGTTTGAGTAGATGGAGTTCTGTGCAAAGTGGATTCAGTTTTGACATGATAAACCTTCTCATATGAATTGTTTCTATATTTCTCGTGTTAAAAAACTATTGCAGACTTTCAACGCAGTGCAAAAGCTACTCAGCAAAACCAATGGGAAGCTTGTTGGAGATTTGATGACACCAGCTCCAGTAGTTGTTGAGGAAAATACCAATCTCGAAGATGCTGCTAAGTTATTGTCTTACCTTTATTTTTTCAGTGCCGTCATATCTTTTCTTCTCTCTGTTATCTAATATTTTACATGCGTCTCTAACTTAATCTTCTTGTTCTGTTTCCCACTAGAATATTGCTCGAGACAAAGTATCGCCGTCTCCCTGTTGTAGACTCTGATGGCAAATTGGTAAGACAGAGATTTTACATTTTACAAATCTCATACTTAATTTCGAAATTCACCATCCTATTTCGCATCGCTTATCCTTTTATGTTTCCCTTAAAAAAAAGGTTGGTATTATCACAAGAGGAAACGTGGTTAGAGCCGCACTTCAAATAAAGCGCACTGGTGACAGGAATGACTAAGATATGAGCCAACCAAGAAAATAGCTTTAAAGCAATGATCAAACATTCTCCAGCGAATAAAAAGTGAGAAACAGAGTATTCGACATTGTACTTATGTATTAGAGAGTAAGAGCCGTAACTTGTATTACAAAGAGTTTGCATCGAAGTGGAGATTAGTAAAACTGTAGAAGCATCAAAGTTCTTACACCAGTCGCAAGCAACTCAGCTTTTGTTCAACTCTGGTAAGTGGTAAGTGCACTTACTTACTTTCTTATTCTGTCGAATCAGCTTCTCGTTTGTTTGATGGGTTAGGTTATCAGATGCTTTGGGTATTTGATTCTCATCCAATTATGCTTTCGAAATTTAATTTATAAGTAAAAATGTTTCGTCCTTTCTACATTTGGTTAACCACCCGAAGTAAACAACCTTTTTTTTAATTTGATTTTGGTTCAACCGAAAATCTCTTTCACTCACTTCACTTTCGTCCGTACAATGGTTAGTTTTCAGTTGAGCTATAATTTCGAAGTTTTATTGTTTACTTGAAGGCTGTAGATGTAGTTATTAATAAGATTTTCCATGATATACACAATTAATTTGAAACAAAAAAAAAAACCAAAAATGTGTGTAAAACAAAAGAGTTAGTTGCGAGGTCATGCTCATCAATAGCTGTCTAAGGAAAACAGTTAAAAATAATAAAGCTTTTGTTGTGGCAGTCTCAAAACGCCGTTGGATCTGAATTTTCCCTGATTAGAAAAAAACGAACAAAAACAGAGTATAGAAACTGTTTTTAACAGTTGGGTCAAGTTTAACGTTTTGGCTCTCAATTGAGAAAGAAACTTAACTCACACCGACACACGTATCGGACCAGTCTTTTCAAAACAAGACCATTAACAAGAAAATGAGCAAGTTTTTGATATAAGTTTTATTGCTGTCATCGCCCCACAGAGAAAAAAATAAAAATAAAAATCCTAAAACGACTTTAGTAGTTACGATAATAGAGATAGTAGTAGAGAGAGAGCTTTAGTTGTTAAGATCGGACAAGTTAAGACCCACTTACCATATTTGTTTTGTAGGACACTCTTTGTCTCTTCATCTCACAACTCATCAAAACACTCACTTCTAATCTCCCAATTCGTCTCCTGCTTCTGCTGCTCTTCACTCGCCGCCGTGTCTCCATCCATATTTTTTTATCCATTATCCACTTCATAATATAACTATTCACTCTAATTAAAACCAATCCCAAGATCAAACCGAATCAAACAAACATTATGAGAGCAATATCAATCTTTTTCTTTTACTCAAACGACACTAAATCCAAATACAACGTATCGAGATGATCAAAACTAATATAGATAGTTTTTTTTCAACAAACAAACAAAAAAACTAGTAATGGCTTTAAATGGTTTCTTATCCTCATTAACTGAAGATTCCAAAGACTTGAGGATTTCAACCCTACTAAAACATCGAACAATTTAACATTGAGTACGAGAACTGAAGTTTAGTAAGACTATTATTTATGAAAAATTATCATCATTACACTAGTAGTGAATTAGTAATCACAATCTCAGGGAGGAGGAGGTGCATGTTAGCAACCGCCGCCGCGCATCATAAAGACAAACATTCTTCTTCTCTAGTAAATCTTCCTTCTACAACTTTTTTTTTTGTTTTTGTTTTGGTGGAGCGAAAATAGGATACTGAAAACAAAAAGATTATTTTTTTACTTTCGTATTTCCTTTCCTACTCGTCATCTGAAGTTTCCGGGTCGGGTAATTTGTTCAAATCGACCGGTTCCCATGACCCGTTACACCTCTTAAACCCTTCCTTACTACTACACTCAATATGATCATCACTATGATTATGATGATTAACGCTGTGATCATCATCCACGTAATCATGATTACCACGTTGATGATGATGATGATGGTGACGGTTCCCTCCCGCCGCTTCTAACGCATCCACTTGCGCTCCAACCTCCGCCGCTTTTCTCCTTATATACGCCGCCGACATATCTCCACCACCGTTTTCTCCGCCGCCTCCCGCCACCGTAACGCCGGCTAAAAGCTCCGGGAAGTTAAGCCGAGCCGAAGGACCACGGAGATAGAATACCGCCGTGTCGTAAGCACGCGCCGCCGCCTCAGGAGTAGAGTAAGAGCCAAGCCAGATCCTTGACCGCTTATTAGGCTCTCTAATCTCCGCCACCCACTTCCCCCACTTCCTCATCCTTATCCCTTTATACGGTTTGTCTCTCTTCCTCGTCGCCGCCGCCGCCACAGCCGTCGGAGTGGGAATAACCGCCGCCACTTCTGCCGCTGTCTCCATCTGGGTTTTCGCTGGAGAATTCAAAAATCCACGAAAGTATCAACCTTGTTTCCGATCTAGATATTTTTTAACCAGCGAAAAGATTAAGAGGCGAAGAAGAAGATGTGATTATTGACGGCGAAGCGATTACATGCGGAGGGAGATTGATGAACACGTGGGCCAAGAAGAGATGAGAGGAACACGAAACCGCAAAAGAGAAGAAGTTCAAAAAATTCACCGACACTAATCTCTTAATAACTTTGGCATATATATTTTCTTTTTCGTTTCTCTCTATATATATATTCTAAGACAGAGACAACAATCTCATCTTCCCTGACAATATATATACACATTTAGATAAAATAGTATTTATTATATTTTGTCTTTATTATTTGGACGGAATTATAATATTAGTGTTAAATACGCTCATGCACCTTATATTTTAATAAAGCTCGTCGGCCCTTTCCATTGGACGGTTATAAAATTCATTTCGATGTATCAGCGTTACTTATTATACAATAAAACGATTTGAATTCACGATTAAATATACCTCAAATCACAGTTTCATTTGTAATAGCCCATGCCTATTCACAGTTGTAAACTATAATCGGCACCCATAATTGTGAAATATACGTATATTTAAATTTATTACTGTTTAGATACTCGTTGATTATATGATTTACAAGTATTACATGGACGAAACACGTCAAACTCTGATTTTAATCAACGACTTAAGATTTAAAACCTAGCTTTTAAAACAAAACATGCATGCTTATTGATCGATTATGTCAGTTTTTATTTTAGCATCACTCTATGAGACTATGACATGATAATATTTCGTTACGTTTCATGATATTGTAGATGTTGCAAAAATGCATTATATCGCTTTTAAACATAGGTGAAACTTGAAGTAAAAAAAAACGTTGGTGGAAACTTCCAGTGCCTCAGCAATTTGTAGAAAACAAAATTTATCCGATACATAAACAGAAGTTCTTAATTTACCTCGTCAATTAAGTTTAAATTTTTCGTTGAATTTACGTTATACAATAATCCTGTTGACAAAGTATTCAATTAGAGTTTATAGTTGAAATTGTCAAATCGTCAATAAATTGAAAAACTCTTAAGTAAACAGAGGATATTTATTGATTGCATGGAATAGGAATAGTGTTGACGTAGGGAAGTGGGTCGCTGTTGTGGAATTTGGGAAACAATAATAAATGGGTTTTAATTTAATTTGTATTGGTTTTTAAAATCATACAGAAATGTTCAAGCAAATAATACGATTAGTTTACCTTATTTATTGTTTTGTTGCATTAAAATATTTAATAGGGAAGAGGCGGTAATGACACGCGTGTCTCCTTCTGTTCTGGGGACAAGTTAGTGGGATTTCTGAGGTGCTTTGTCTTTTCTTTTTTCCTATGTTTTTTCTTCTTTCTTTTTATTTTTTTACTGTTATTTGTTTTTCTTATTTTCTGATTAAATCTCAATTAATTAAGACATTTCTGTTTTTTAAAATAGTAATATTTCACTTTTTCCATATTTATATCACTTATATTCTCAAATGATTTTGTTTTAATATGAACTTTTCGCATTATTACTATACCACCACCAATCAATCTGTTAACTCAAAAATCGTTTGTGTTATAATGAAAGTTAAAATACTTGATATTTTAGAGTAATTTTTTGGCGTAATTATTTTATTTATCACCAATAACGTGGAGTATTTACCATTAACGATAAATAATGCTGAAGCATTAAGCATAAGTTACTGGAATAGTGAGAATATGTATAAGCAAACCTTTTTTTTCTTGTTACGATTTGAAAAGGTGAAACTTACTAAACTTTCCAAAATTTTATTAAATTGTGTGGCGATAGGTGATCTAACCTTAAAGCGTTAATTAGTTCAACTGAAGAAGTCGTAATCTGAATTCCAATTGTGAGCATTATCTAAATAATTGCAAACAACAAATGTCATTAGTCACAATGAGCTCTCCAAAGTTGTGTCATCAGAATAGGATATAAAAATATATATATTTCAAACCGCTAAAAATATTTAGGTCGGTGGTCGGTGGACGTTCCATCCACGCAAGAGCTACTGTATTTTACTATAATACCCTTATAAATATCCTCTTGTTACTAGGGGATTTAAGGCCACAAATGTCATTCCCAGTCGATATTTACAACATTGGAAGGCTAATTTTGTGATAATTTCATTTGGAAACTGATTATTTGGAAACAGTGAAAGTGCCTTTGGAGTCTAATGCTTGAGCCACACACCACACATTAAGAATTATTTTATTTTAAGCCTGATCATGTTTTTTAAGCCTTAGCACCAAACTAATCATACATATTTTAGAGTTTTTATTTCATATTTATAAATACGTGAATGCGTTGTAGATCGACTGTTCTATTGGAGTCATGTCAGTTTGCGTGTTAATTTTGCTATCAATCTTTGTTGTTGTTGTTAATTTCTTAGTATCAATGCAATTGTTTAATGACAATAATCTTATACTAATTTATTTTATTTCGGATATATGGGTTTTAAAATCAAATATGTTGATCACCTGGTTTGAGCCGCATACTTATTGTTATCCTTTTGTCGTGAAACGCAAATTTATTTCGAAACCAGAAATTCTGAAAACAGAATAAATTTTTCTGTAATTCAATATCGTAAAACAAACTTTCACATATATATAAATACGTCACCAGAAGTGTTTTTACGTGTGAGTATGTCATAGGATAGCTTGGATTCCTATCCAATAATGAGAAAGTAATTCATACGGAAAAATTTCAATAACAGACGTACGCGTAGGTCCACATTGTACGTAAATAATATGTGACCGACATTGAGGTCATGACAAACGTATATCGTATGGTTTTAATTTGGATATATAAAGCAATTATGTACACCACAAGATCTTACTTTTGCAAGTATTATTTTCATAACAGTGTCCCAAAGTGTCCAACGCATGTTATAACAAAACATTTTTCGTACAAAGACCATTTGTCTAACCAAAAGTTTCGGATCTCTCATGTATACATATATAACATATTAGATCCAGTTAGAAACAAGTGTCTTATTTTCAACGGAGTACGCTTAGACCTTATGAACTACTTACGTTTGGATATATTCACTTATTTTTTACTTATAGTCGTTCATTTTTTTTTTTTTGTGTTTTTGTTTTATATATATATATATATATAGCATACTGTAGTATATAGATCAATAGCGTTTACTTCCCATAACAGCATTATTTTTCCCATCTTGTTATAAACACAAGTGTATTCTCTCTTTCTCTAGCATACTATATATTGTTTTTTTTTTTGAAAATTACTATATATTGTTTTAAACATTTTATATAATGGTTTAAAATATCAAAGATAATTAAATTAGGAGATGGAAATAAATACTTACATATAAAATAGTATAACTGAAAAGATATATATATATATATATATATATATATATATATAACCTAAAATGAATCAGAAACGTTAAAGAAACAACATATATATAAGTTTTCAAAAATAATTTTCAGGCTAATATTAAAGAAAAAGAGAGACTTTGACATTGATAATCAAGCTTTTGTCTGTGCTTATTAAAAAATTCCTCTTGCTATATTATACTACAATTTATAGATTAGTGTCTTAGTATATTTTATATATCATTTATAATCTGCCACTTGTTACTAGTTTATTGCCGGAAGAGATGATGCATGACATTTCTTATATATTATTATTTCTCAGATGACTCTTTTGTCTTCCTTTTTTCCCTCGTTTCTTTCATCAAAATGAAAAAATACAAATTCTCCTATTTTCAAGGATATAGCGACCAATCATATCTTATACTACAGTTTAAGAATTTGTGTCCGATTGTAGTTATACTACATTATCAGTATAGCTTTATAGCTAGAGATGATTTAACGTATAATTTTGTTTAGATTCTTTAACAATGTGTATATATATATATTGGGTTGGTGTAGCATCCGACTCTTCTGAACTAAAGAAAATATATAATTTCAATTTCAATTTCATTTTCATTTTTTGTTAGTTGATTAATATTTCGACATCATTTTGATATAATCATTTTGGATGCTTGCGAATAGTCAAATGTTGTTTTCATATCATAATTCATACTGCTAGAGTTAAGCGTATATCTTAAATACGATTGCAGTGGGGATTAGCTGTGAACTGGTTGGCACATGAACGTGCCAATTACCCAAAATTCAAAACTTTATTTTATCTTTTGGGAGGACATACAACAGAAGCAAACCCTTGAATCGGCAAGGGAGAGTAAGGGACCACAAACATTTTTTAGTTTTCGTACCTTATTGATCTTCACAAATTCTTTGTATTAAACCATGATAATTTCACCATCTTAAACTTACAATGATGTATTTAGAAAGTTAAAAGGACACCTGTGCCTTCTCTCAAGTTCGATTCAAACGTATATAACTCTATCTAAGCATATTAAGCAATTGGCCTCGATATACCCGATTCAGTAATGTATAAACTTGATAATATCAATTTCATAAACCGTTATGTTATGAACCTAAAAGCTTGCAAGTATTTCACAGCCAAGGCAAAATGTATTTGATATTTCTTCTGGTTTGAAAAAGTAATTAGTTTTGATCAGTTTCGTTACATAGATGCGTCGGTCGCAATTTACGTCATGTTGTGCAAAAGCTAAAATCTAAACGACGTTCGTATGGACTGCTCCTAGTGAGTCAATGTCGATTTATTGTTCACGCATGTTGTATATAATTTTTCGTTGATGATAACCTACGTCTATTTCTATACAGACGCATGTAAAAACAGAGAGACTAGTTTGTATGAAAAACAAAATTAAAGATCAAAAGTTGTAAAAAGAAGAAAAATAGTTAGAAGGACGCCGAGAGAGAGTCACATAGCCTACTGCTGAGTCACAGGCTTGACCGCTTGAGCTCCAGGGTTTGATCTTGTTATGTTACACATGTATGTAAGTAAAGTGGGACCCGCAAAAAAATTACCATAAGATAATTAGTTAATTACATACATAATTTTTGCTGTACAGAGGATATATTACATACATAATTTTTTTTGCCTCTTTTCGACCTTTAAAAAAGTCAAAACTTTTGCTGTGCTTTGTTGCTCCAGTAACACTAATTAGGATTATAATGAAGTTGTGTGGCTTTTTTCTTTATGCCAAAAGAGGTAAATAAAATTATGCAAAGGGCAAAAACGTCATAAAACTGTAATTAGTAGTAATGCACCTGAAGGTCAAAAGGGCACATGTGAAAATTAATATCACTCGTGAGTCGTGTGAGTTGCTAAAGGGAGGTGTAATATTAATTTTCTTTTCTATAAAAATATTATTTTTTACAATTATTGGAGCTGCCATTGTCAAGATCGTAGGTAAAGTACATTTATATTGTCCAAAATCTGGTTATTCGGCGTTTTACTACTTAACTTATTTCATGCGACAACTGCATTATTGAAAATAAATTATTGACTTCTTATACTCATTGAATTTCTATAAATATAAAACTCAACTACCATCTTTAACTTGGATTTTTAGAACAAGCTTATCTTTAATTTATGTTCCTCCGGAGAAATATACTAAAATAAATAAGATTTATTTTTTATAATTAGAGAAACTGCAAGACCAGGCAAGATCTTTCGAACTTTTAAGATTTTGAAAAATAAGTTCGAGCTAGCTTTGATCCAGTTTCTAAAAACTCAGTATTGTATAGTCGAGGACCATAGATCATATACATATATGAAAATTGCATAAAAAATTCGGTTATATTTCAGGAGAGATTTCTACTTGCAAGTTAATAGTATTTGCATGTCAATATTATTTAGAGATTTTATGAACCAACTCTACGATATTGGAACAAATCTATCTATACATATTGGCCCAATATGAACAAATCGAGAATGTTAATGGGCCTAACTGGACATCATGTTTTCTCTTGTAAATTTGAATCTCGATAACAACTCCGGCCCAGTATAATAGAGGGTATGTTTTAGTTGCCGAATGATTCAGATAATCGGATTAAGAGATCAGTTATTCAAAAAAAGCCCAAGATATATATGTGTGTAGTCGGATTTCTAATAATTTTTATTAAAATTACCATTCTATCACCTATCCATATTTAAACGAGATAATTTTTTATTTATTTTAGATTGGACTCATTATTAAACAATTTGCATTTCATATATGTAGACAGTTTGGTGGCGCAGAGCTGTCTTGTCTATGCTTTGTGTGCAAGTGAAAACGAACCGGTTTTAGTCTCTAAAACTTCCCCAACAAACCCGGTTTAGTTATTTCCTCCAAACCGTGTCATTGACTCTTGTTCGGCCGGACCAAACTGTACTTTATGACATGGCTGGTATGTCGTTATCATGGGCCTTTCCCAATGGCCCAATAAAGAAATCGTAATCAAATCATTTGGTTCGTTTTTCCCAATTTCGTGTACATTTTGGTAATCACTTTTAGTCTTCACTAATTAAAATCCTTTGTATTTGTGAAGAAACAAAACACATCATTATTTAGCAGTTAATTGTTGTGGGATGTTAATGCTTAATACCCGAAACTGTCGCAAATTATTACCAAAAACAAATTTTGACTTCAAATAGAAATGGACAATCATGAGCCAAAAATGTTAAAAAGACCCTAATTTTAACTCAATAGGAAAGTTTTAGCTAAACCCAATAAGAAAAAGACACGTGTGCATCGTTGTCGTTTTCCTCTGCTTCCATTGAGCTTCGATGGCGTTGTATCGAAGCATCACAGATGGTATGGTGGGAGCAAGAAAGGAAAGCGATAATCGAACTGATTAAGGTCGTGTAATCGAAGTCATCTTGTTGTTAATCAGATCCTCTTTTTGTAGCTGATTAAGGAAGGAAAGGAGTTGAAAAGGGAGGGAGGGAGGAAGAAGAAGAAAAAGAGGTCAACGAAAGAGGATATGAAGCTCTCTGCGTTGCATCAGAGCTACTTAAATCGCCGGAATAACAGCTTCAGATCTCCGGCGGCGCTTGATTCTTCCGTCGACGGCTCCGGGAAGTCTCTAGCCGCCGTGTTTTGGCTCGTTCTGCACTGTCTCTGCTGCTTGATTAGTCTAGTCCTCGGATTCCGATTCTCGAGATTGGTCTTCTTCTTCCTCTTCTCTACTTCCTCCACGAATCTCTACTCTGCTCCGTTTCGCCCCGACTTACCTCTCAAACACCTCGATGTCCGCACAATCGGCCGCAATCTGGATCCCTCTCCGGTAATCGGAGCTAACTCGACGGCGACAGCGGCTACGAAGAGCTCGCGAGTCGTCGTCGGGAGACACGGGATCCGGATCCGTCCTTGGCCGCATCCGAATCCGGCTGAGGTGATGAAAGCGCATCAGATCATCGAGAGGGTGCAGAAGGAGCAAAAGACGGTCTTCGGGATGAAAAGCAGCAGGACGGTTATCGCCGTGACGCCGACTTACGTGAGGACTTTCCAGGCGCTGCATTTGACCGGCGTGATGCACTCGTTGATGCTCGTACCGTACGATCTGGTCTGGATCGTGGTTGAAGCTGGTGGCGCTACGAATGAGACCGGTTCCATCATCGCTAAGTCAGGTCTCAGGACGATCCATGTTGGGTTTAACCAGAGAATGCCTAATACTTGGGAGGATCGTGGCAAATTAGAGGTCTTGATGAGACTTCAAGCTTTGAGGCAAGTTTCTAAAAATTATCTCTTTTGCTTACTTGAAATTAGTGGAATGTAAAAAGTTGGAATCTTTATGAATGTTGAGGCTGAAAGTGATGTTCTTGTTTTCTTGTGTGGTCAGAGTTGTGAGGGAAGAGAAGCTTGATGGGATTGTGATGTTTGCGGATGATAGTAACATGCATAGTATGGAGCTGTTCGATGAGATTCAGAGAGTGAAGTGGTTCGGTGCTGTCTCCGTTGGGATATTGGCGCATTCGGGGAATGCAGAGGAGATGGTTATGTCGATCGAAAAGAGGAAAGAGATGGAGGAGGAAGAGAGCTCTTCGATACCGGTACAAGGTCCTGCGTGTAACTCAACAACCGGTGAGCTGATCGGTTGGCACGTTTTCAACACGCTGCCGTACGCTGGGAAGAGCGCGGTTTATATAGACGATGTTGCTGCGGTTTTGCCCCAAAAGCTAGAGTGGTCTGGGTTTGTGTTGAACTCGAGGTTGCTCTGGGAGGAGGAAGGTGAGAGTAGGCCAGAGTGGGTTAAGGAGTTTGGGTCGTTGAATGAGAACGAAGGCGTGGAGAGTCCTTTGTCTCTGTTGAATGATCCTTCGATGGTGGAGCCTCTTGGAACCTGTGGAAGACAGGTTCTGCTATGGTGGCTTCGTGTTGAAGCACGCGCTGATAGCAAATTCCCTTCTGGGTATGCCTTTCTTTTGTTCTAGATATAGTCCCGTACATAAACTATGTTCATCATACCACTAATCATCTTGCAATCTTATTGAGGAGTGGTTAGGCATTGAATTAAGGATCTAGGAAGCAGGCCATTACTCGCTAAGAATGAAACTAATTTGATCCTAGTTTTGACTCATCCTAGTTGATAAGAGTGATGTTGAAATGACTTGTTCACTCCTCTTTCTTGAGGTCATGAGGGTGAAGTTTTGTTAGTGAATCAGTTCTTGGTATAGTGTAATTGTTTATTGATGTTTGAATCTGTTTCTGTTATTGTTTTACAGATGGATAATTGATCCTCCACTAGAGATCACAGTCGCGGCTAAACGCACTCCATGGCCAGAGTTTCTACCTGAGCCACCTACTAAAAAGAGAGATCAAATGCCATTACCCCGAGGCAACAACGTCGTGGTGATACCGAAGCAGCAACATCCTGGCAAAATCCGAAAACCGAAACGCAGGAGTAAGAGAAATAAACACGAACCTAAACCAACGGATACAACATTACTAGTCTCTTCTTCATCTTCGTCTAAGCAGCATCAAGAAAGGAACTGAGAAAGAACAGGAGATGAAAGAAGATCCCTTCTACTATTATTCATTTGTTGCCAAAGTTTTTTAGAGAGATCTCAGAGATCATCTTCTCCTCCAGATACCGCAAATATTACGACTAACGGAGAGGAAACATAAACCGGGGAAGATTATTAGATTATGATGATGGAGCTCCCACAGAAAAAAAAGGTATACAGGTTTTTCGGGGAATGATGATCATTCGTTTTTTTTCAATATCGTTTCTTTTTGGGTCTTATTAAAAAACCTATCTTTATTAGTAACAAAGATTGTTTCAGTGTTGTTGAGGTTACAGAAAAAAAGTGTAGAAACAAAAACTTTGGGTTGTATAGTTTTTGTAAGCATATTTCTCAATTCATTTCTGTTTTCTCACCCAATGAATATTATCTTCTCATGGACCCAAAAGTTCACTATATAAATCCACTCTCTGTTACAAAGTTCACTTCCTAGAAATCAATAACATTTGGAACATAACATTATTTAGTCATCTAAAAAAAACCTGACCCTTACTTTTTCAAAAATTTGACTTACGTGTGAATTCAAATGATGTGGTCACTGATTATGTCACATCAATTTATCCGCAAGTTGGTTTGTTAGAAGCGAAATTGATTACCGAATGGGAACTAGTTCACGTAGAATTTGTTAGAAGCTTCGGGTGACGTTAGTTTTATGTATTTTTTGGATTAAAAAAGTGTTGGAGATGAAGACAGTGGAAAAGATACCTTCGTGAGAAAGAATTGTGAAGAAAGTAAATACAAAAACAGAATCATTTTCCATTCTTCAAAAAAGAAAAAAAAAAAGAAAAAGTAGTATAAGAGAATAAAAGGAAAAACAGAAATGAAAGGGAGACAAAGACTGCAAACAGATTCATAACTGAAATAATGGAGGATTGGGCGGTTTTGTCAGAAGATCACATGACTTCTTTAACAACTCTCCCACTTTTTTTTTTTTTTCCTTTGACCATTTACATTTTATAACTCGGATCGGTATCAGTCGGTTTCTTTGGATTAAGGATAAACGAAGAAATAAACTAAATTTGGATAACACCAAACCAAACATACCTAAGATCAACCTTGGCTTTACTACTTAATAAGTTTTTTTTGCAAATAAAAGTTCGAAAAATAAAAGATTATGAAAATAAGAGAAAGTGAAACCAAACCGAATAAAAGTTAAATAAACCAAATACTGACCATTTATTTATATTTAATACGTTTTTTTAACATTTTCAAAAAAGTATTAAGTATTAACTCTAATACTTGAGCGAAAACAGTCGGTGAAACTTCCATGCTTGCTTGGTTCGTAGCTTCGCTGCCCATTCAAAATGATATCAAAAACTGAACAGAATTATTATAAAAAAACGAAATTAATTAAGAAACGGTCACATTTAGTTGTCACATGTCAGGAACACGAGCGAGACACTTTGTTTCTTAAACCTTATCAAAAGGCACCACTTCGGTATAGAAACATCTCTCTGCCTCCCATTTCCTCCAATCACCACTTTTCTCCTCTCTTTTTTTTTAGAAAAGAGAAGCAAAAGGATCAAGTTCAACGGTCAGGATGGGGCGCCGCCTCGTGATAAGAGAATCTGCCGTGAAATGGGAACATCACATCCACCCATTCATTCTAGATTCTTCTATGAATCTTCAATTTCTTTTTGTTCTTCTTATATCATCAAGACATCTACTCTTAAAATGAGACCACACCTGCTCGCCAAAAAAAAAAAAAAGAGACCATGCTTGATTTTTAGACGTCAAAAAACTATAAAAACAGACCACAGTTTTGAACCACAATGTAGATATTTTCCGTTTTGATAAAATATACTATTTTCCACTGTCGAGAAGATGAAATTGTATTTTCTAATGATGACATTATTTCAAGATATATATCCACTTACATAATTAAAATTTGGCTACTTAGTCTTTTTCCGTATTCATCGTTTTCTAGCTTTCGTCCGTCTCATATAGATTCTTGGAAACTGATGTAACGTAGATTCAGAAATTCACAGACATACATATCTAATTACACTGTTCTTAAACCAATGTCAATATATATGCATGTATGTGGATTTAAGTTTACAACTTAATAAATTCCGACGTAAAGAAATCAAATCACACGTAAAAGATGCGGCTATTTCGTAAAGATATTCTCCTCAAAGTGACATTATGCTGTTTCGAATTACTGGCCGATTTAATGGGATTCATGTGCCCGGAACTGAAAAGCTCGCTATTTTGCGATCTGATCGATGCTATGTGGTCGGTAGCCAATAACTGATACGCTGAGAAAGCAAATAGTCTGTTCCGCTATTAATGACGCAAGCGGTAAAACGTGAAAAACAAACGGCTCACAAAATTGGTTCTAAACCAATCCCATGAAAAATAAATATGGTTCGTCTAGTCACGTAATTGAGAAAATGTTCCTATATATATAATATATACGCTTATTATAGTATTAACTGGATTCAAAATATCTGAGTGAACATTAACTACGTAAGTCGTAAGCCATGAATTTTTTTAAAAAAATATTACTATGTGAACACCGACCTCGAAAACCAATGAGAAATAGTTTAACTTCACTAAGTTTTAATTTTTACTTAAAAATATGGACTTCAACAAGTTGACTAGCATCTTAAATTGCATCCGGGGTTAAAAAGACGAAATTAAACTGCATTACATGAGGCACGAACATTCAAATTTTAAAGGAAAATCAAATAATCATGCATAGGTGTAGACTGGAGATCCAGAAGGAAGAAGAAAATTGCATAACTTGTTGTGTGCTAAAGCTCAATACGAGTGTTGTATTAGGTTACGTATATCTTCTGTAATACAATAGTTATGTACGTCAACGATGAATACATAGATCAACTTTTATTAAATATATACGCAAAGCATATATATATATATGGGTGATGTAAACAACAAAGCAGGAAAAAGAAAAAACAACAAACTATCTAATGTGAAATAAATATTATTACGTAGGCGAAAGAAAATTACAATCTTGGAGATAATTAATTCCGATGTTAGGAAAAGAATAGTAAACTATTTGAATTACAGGCGAATGGTTTGACCCCATAGATCTTTGAACTTTGAATTAATTTTGGTGAAATCCATACGGAGTATGTCGCAAGGGAAGGAGAATGGTGTTCCCAATTCTTTGTTTCTTGGTCTGCTGTACATCACACAACTTTCTGCTTAGAAATATCCTTCTTTCTAATTTATTTTGTATGCCCATATAAACAGAATGGCTGGTATTTAATCCTTTTTGTGTATAGAATTTAATTATTAAACGTGGTGTGTATATTTAAATAAATACATAATATCCACATAACAATTTCTTTGACTTTTTTGAATTTTATTAAGGTGTAGACCAAGAACCATTAAAATTTCTACACTGTTTTTTGTTAATATTTTGAACATACAATTAACACATAATCGAATGGAAGAACTTAATCTATGATTTTTAATTACATGCGAGTTTGACAAAAAAAAACGTGAACTTTCTTTTATAAGAGTCATTGTAAAAATAATCTATAGTCACATCTTTTCTTCCATCCCTATCATATCTAGCTTTAATGTAATTAACCAAATAGTTTAAAGTGCAGCTCGAGAAACAGAGAGAAACTTTCAACAATTTTAGACTGAAGATTCAGAAAAAGGTAGGTATGCACAATCGGAAAAATGGTTCAATTAAATTTAATTGTTTTTCGGAAAAGCAAGAAAACAAAAATTCCATCCCTTAAATTAAGTATAATACAATGTTGTATTTGAATAAAAATAATCTACATTTTGTAGATATTTAATATGTATTTCATTTTATCTTGATATAGTAGTATCCAAATTTTGAATTTTAATTTTTAAAATTAATAAAAAATACATAAATATCTCCCGGCCTATTATTTACACGCATAATGTTATCCAATGGAAAAAAATGAAGGTATTATAAATTTAAATATTAATTTCATTCATATTTCCGAGGAAAAAAAAATCAATTTGAATCGTCCACCATCTTGCATGCCCATGCCTATAATTATAATAGGAAAGTATACCAACTTGAAATATTAAAATACCAAAACTTTGGTTATAAATAGTTCAACTTCTCATCCCTCCAAAAAAACAAGCCATCCCAACTATCAAAGCTAGAAAACCAAACATATAACACAAATAACATGGCTTCCTCTCCTACAATCCTCTCTTTACTTCTCCTGTTCGTCGTCGTTTCATTAGCCTCCGGTGTTGAGTCCATCATCAATAACAACCATCTCAATCTTCCATCGGAGGGCGCGTGGAGAACCGATGAAGAGGTAAGGTCCATCTACATAAAATGGTCCGCGGAGCACGGGAAAACTAACAACAACAATAACGGTATCATCAACCAACAAGACGAAAGGTTCAATATTTTCAAAGACAACCTAAGATTCATCGATCTACACAACGAGAACAACAAAAACGCTACTTACAAGCTTGGTCTCACCAAGTTCGCTGATCTCACTAACGATGAGTACCGGAGTTTATACCTCGGGGCAAGAACCGAACCCGCCCGCCGCATCGCTAAGGCCAAGAACGTTAACCGGAAATTCTCAGCCGCAGTAAACGACGAGGCGATACCGGAGACGGTTGATTGGAGACAGAAAGGAGCCGTAAATGCCATTAAAGACCAAGGATCTTGCGGTACTAACTCATTCTGCTCTTTTTCTTTTTTAATCTAAAATGATATTTGAAGTATTATTGATCGTAACATTTGTGTATTGTGTGTTGATCGACAACAGGAAGCTGTTGGGCATTTTCGACAGCTGCAGCAGTAGAAGGTATAAACAAGATCGTAACAGGAGAACTTTTATCTCTGTCCGAACAAGAACTTGTCGACTGTGACAAATCCTACAACCAAGGCTGTAACGGCGGTTTAATGGACTACGCTTTTCAATTCATCATGAAAAACGGCGGCTTAAACACCGAGCAAGATTATCCTTACCGTGGATCCAACGGGAAATGCAATTCTCTCTTGGTAGGTTGAAACATAAACAGAGCCGCTCTGTTTTTTTTCTTTTTCACAATTTAAGTAACTGCTAAAATTGAAAAATCTGTTTCTTTACGTGTTTGCAGAAGAACTCGAGAGTTGTAACTATTGATGGTTACGAAGATGTTCCTACTGAAGATGAAACCGCGTTGAAGAGAGCAGTTTCATACCAGCCTGTGAGTGTCGCCATTGAAGCCGGTGGAAGAGTTTTCCAACATTACCAATCGGTAAGCGACACCGACCTTAAACCGGGGAAGGGTTGTTTTCTATAATTCTAGGTAGTAACCCGGGTTTGGGATTTTTAATAACCGGTTTGGTTTTTGTTGGCAGGGAATCTTCACCGGAAAGTGTGGTACGAGTTTGGATCACGCGGTGGTCGCGGTTGGTTACGGGTCAGAGAACGGCGTTGACTATTGGATTGTACGAAACTCGTGGGGTACACGTTGGGGAGAGGAGGGTTACTTTAGGATGGAGAGAAACCTGGCTCAGTCGAAATCCGGGAAGTGTGGTATTGCCGTCGAAGCATCGTATCCGGTTAAGCACAGCCCAAACCCGGTTCGTGGAACCAGCAGTGTTTGAAGTTAAAAAATAAAAAAACAAAAGAACTCAACAATCAATTTGGTTTTTTTCATAATTGAATTTAATCTCATATGTATAGTATTTCAAAAGACGAAAGTATTTGATTCACTATAAGGATTTAATCTGTATAAATCCCTATGTCGATCAATTACTTTTCAGTCAAAGAAAGATTGCTTTGCTTGTTTTATGTATTAAGGGAAATATAATAAAATGATATGTTTCTCAAGAAGAGCATCGCTGGTTAATTTTAATTTATCGAAGTATGAATAGAGAACCAAATCATCAAAGTTTCCACACTGTTAAATTGTTTAATATTTCATTACCAATGAAGTAATACGGTACAACCGAACAATGAGTTCAGTTAAAACCAGTAAATAGCCATGACAAAGAAGTGAAAAAGGTGAAAAACATATGGTCTGAAGCTAAGGAGTTTCTCCCATCGTTTTATTCACCTTCTCACTTTTCTCTAACAAAGCTTCAAGAAATCGAAACCAACATAGAAAAGAACAAAATATGGATGCAAAATTTAACGAAAATGTTCTTAAAATCGTTGAACATTTATAAATACTAATATTCATTGCCAGTATGTGATAAAATACAATATGTTGAGTCAAAACCAGTAAAAATATAGGCAGAACAAGTAAAGTTAAAAAAACATCTGCCACAAGCCTAAAGTCTCTCGGATTCCATTTTTCTTCTACTTCATCCCTAACAAATATCTTCAAACAAACCGAATCCGAAACCGGAAACAGAAGAGGAACACGCTTACTTGCTCGAGGGTCGATCACTGCTCTCCATCGAAGGTGTTTTTTTCCCGTATCGCTATTAGAAGAAGCAAAAACAGAGTGTAAAGTTAAGAAACCGTTGACACACAATGTATAAAAAAGTCCGTCTTGAGGAAGAAAAACGCAATACTATACCTGCTTCCCGAAAGAGAAGGGGACGTATCTGTATTTGATCATATGTTGAATTTGTTTCCTCATCGTGAGGAAGAAAAGCATCACCCAGTAGAATAGTAGTATTGGCCAGAATGCAGGAACATCGAATACTTGGAAGAACGTCATTACGAACCCGATCACAAAAGCTCTAGTGATCGATACCCTTTGCAGAAATTCAAACAAAAACCAAAATCAAATCACACATCTTTACGCAGTCTTCACCAAAGAAACATAGTTTACACATTAGAAATGAGAAAGATACTCTCTTTACCATCTTTGAGGCTGATAAGTTTGCTGGTACAGCGAAATATGAAGATCATCTCTTTTCAATTTCTATTTTTTTAAAACATACAATTCATCCAAATTGACATTTTCAAATGAAACTGTAAATCGAAAAAGTATCAAAATTCAGAGAAAGAGGAACGAACCAGAACTTGAATTCGGGGAGACGGCGGACGAATGGTCGGAATTCATCGGATCCGCGAGTAGGAAGACTCCCGCCTCCGAGAGAAGCCTCGGGATCTTCCTGGGGAGAGAGGAAAGCAATGAGGAGGTTCAGAATGTAGATTCCGATCGCGTATGTGATGATGTAGAAGCCTTCGACGAAGTAGACGCGGACGGCGTAGATGAGGACAACGACGAGGCATGAGATCCAACGGTACAGAACGTGAGGAACCGTTTTATCGAGCAGATGCTGTTGCCGCTGCGACAATGCGTGGGTCAGCCGAGCAACCGCGTCGGCTGGAGACGACGACGACGAGACGCCATCGCTCGATTGAAGATCGTCAGCGGCAGAAACAGCCGTGGTTTTGGATTCCATTGCCGCACCACCGGTGATCTCACTTCCTCTCCGTGGTTTCGTCTCTCTCTCTGCCTCTGAAACTTCGGCGGAGGAGACGGAGAGGCTGTATCGTGTTTGTAAGTGTGTTTCTTTTGTTTTTTGGGGTCAGATTCGATCGTGTTACATGCCGGTATATCCGGTTTACAGCTAATTCGCTTAATTTTCGCAAACCGGATAAAATTAACAGATTTAAGTTAACTGTCTTGGATTTACTTTACTTATTAGGTTGATTAATCGAATTTTGTGGGGGAAAAAACAGTCGAACTACAAGATTTTCTTTGTACACCGCAACAAGTTAGCAATAAGATCAAATTGGCTTAAACAAGAAAACACTACACTTCATACCAAAAAAAAAAAAAAAAAAAAAAAGAAAAAACACTACACAACAGAGGAGTTATGAGGGAATCTTTCAAGAACAGCCAAAGATTCCTTCATCGTTGGCCTCTTTTGAGGAACAGGAGATGCACAGCTAAATCCTAACTTGAAACAACTGAGTAAAAAGTCTTCTTTGCCCTCTAACTCGCCGCGGATCACCACGTCGGCCATTCTCAGTGCACGGTGTCCTTCCTCTACCGTCAGTCCATTTCCTAGCCCAATCTCTTCGGCGGACACGATCTTCCCCGTGAGAAGCTCGAGTAGGATCACTCCGAAGCCGAAAACGTCCCATTTCGGGCTTGGTTTTAGGCTCCGGAAAGTCTCTGGTGCACAGTAAGGCGACAATGGGCCCACCGAGCTTGGACTCGGGCTTGGCGTGGGGCCTATGGACGAGAAGTCCCGTGAAGACGCCGTTGAACGCTTGCTACTGAATATCCTAGAAGACCCACCGGCTCGGCTGTAGCTTGTTTCACCTGTGAGAAGCCTTTCGAGCCCGAAATCACCGATTTTGGGTTCCATGTCGTGGCCCAAAAGTATGCTACTGGGCTTCAAGTTTCCATGCACGTGCTTCTTTTCGTGAAGATAAGCTAGCCCACGTGCTATACCTTTTGCTATCTTGAGCCTAGTTTCCCACGGTAGATGATACGGCGAAGAAGACCCACCTTTTCCTGCACAAAATCCGTAAAGGCCCAAATATCAATAAAAGGGAAATTCCGCGCATTTTAGCAAAGGCGAAACCTTAAAACTCACGGTAACGGGGGTTGACGAGGCTGCCGTTAGGGACAAAGTCGTAAATGACCAGTTTCTCGTCTGTACCCCAGTAGAACCCACGGAGCCTAACCAAATTCGGGTGAACCAATTTCCCAATGGCTCGAATGTTCGACTCGAAATCCTTAAACCGGCGCTGAGTCAAACCATTCTCACCGAGCCGACGAACCGCGAAAACCGCTCCGTCCTCGAGAACGGCTTTATACATAATACTCGAGCCGGTGGCTCCTAGAATATAAGCCGAAGCCTTAAGCAGAGTCTCAATCTCCATCTCCTTCTCTCCATCAACGGTCACCAACGTCCCTTGCTTGTTCTCTCCGTTGTCTCCCGACCGTTGATCTCCATTGTAACCGGTTTCTTCGTCCTCCTCTTCATCGGACGGTGTCGTTTCGGGATCTTTTCGTAGACACGACCATTTCGCGAATCTTCTCGATTCGTCTGGTGAGGAAGAAGAAGATGAAGATGGTGATAGCGTAATTGTGTCCGCTGTTTCTTTTCGTTGCTTGTTGTTGATGTTGTTATCCACGCTCATGTTCTTCTTGCATCTGTAGATGTATAGGAAAATAACGGCGAGGATTGAAATTCCGGCGATGTCTCCGAGTACGATCCCGATTATAACTCCGGGTCGTAAACCAGTTCGGGGATTCGGGTTGGATTGTTGTGTTGTTGGATCGGTAACCGGGGTTGAACCGATTGTGTTCGGTATGGCGGCGATTGCCGGCGTAGACGTTGGTGCGTCGGCGTCGGAGACGATTGAAGGTGATGATGTGATGGGACACGGGTTTCGGGTCGGGTCGCCGCATAGGCCCGGATTCCCGGAAACGAAATTTGATTCCTGGTTAAGGAAAACCGGAGAATTCGGAATTGAACCGGTTAAATTGTTGAAGGAAAGATCAATGGTGGCGTTTCTGGGGAATTTAGCACCGATCTCCGGTGGAATTTCGCCGGAGATTTGATTGAACGAGACATTCAGGTACCGGATACACTCGCCGCCGAAATCCGGTGGTAGTGAACCATTGATCAGATTCGATGACAAGTCCAGGAACTGAACAGCTCTCCACCCGCCGGGAATTTGGCCGGAGAAGTAATTGTTATCCAGAGAAACCACCGTCAAGTTTCTCAGTGTCACCAAGTTGGCGGGTAACTTTCCCGCCAAGGCATTGTCGGAGAGATTAAGGGTTAGAAGGCTGTGAAGATCGCCGATTGCTGCAGGGACTTCGCCGGAGATCATATTACTGGAGAGATCGAGTAACCGGAGCTCTGTTGCGTTGAAAAAAGAAACCGGTAATGGCCCATTGAAGGAATTGTTGGAAAGATCGAGACTTTGAAGTGTTTTGAGAGAACCCAAATCAGAAGGAATCGAACCCAAGAGCTGAGAATTGGGGAGAGACAGAGTCACGACTTGGGAGTCGTTATTACAAGAGACTCCTCTCCAAGAACATGGAGTTTCATGGTTGTAATTCCATGAATGTAATAGAAACAGAGGATCAACAAGAACAGAGGACTTAAAGTTCATCAAAAGCAATCCATCAGTGTTTAAACCAGAGGAACCCAAAACAAAGCAGAAAAAGAAGAAGGTAGCTGAAATCAATTCCATTCTCATGGCTTCATCAATACAGTGAAAGAGAAGGAGAGAGAGAGAGAGAGAGGGGGAGAGATAAAGAGGTGTGAAAAGAGTTAAAGATAGAGAGAAACAGCTCACATAGCCAAACACATCCCCTTCTTGCTCCCTAAATGCGCTCTCTCTGTCTCTGTCTCTGTCTGCGAGAAAAAATATTGCAGAGTTTCTTTAATTCTATAACCAATACGAGTACACACTTCTTGTTACAGTCTTCTTTATTTATTGTGATTTTTGTACTTTTTCTCTCTCTTTCTTTCTTTTACTGAACCGAAGAAACGAGTAGATTCTTAGAATTAGTAAGCTACACGACTTTTATATAATCAGCAGTTACAGATTTGCTCAAAGTTGTAACTTCTTTTTATATTATAAGTTTCTTGATCTATGACGTTTTACACAGATTCTCATTCTTCTGTTTTTGTTCACACGGCTAGTATAGCTCGAAGAAATCTAAATCCAATATATTTGGTTCTTTTTAAAATTTTAGAAATAAGGCATCTTTTGGTTTTGTTTTTCGAATATGGTTCTAATGTCTCTGCTGTTTTTCTTTTTATGGGGATCATTTATTTTTTGTCTCTCGATATGCTTCACAAGAATTATTATCCCTTGTAACTGGCTTTCATGTGCTGCTTACTATTCTTGTTTTTATTCATTTGGTTTCATTTTTTGTAAATATATGGTTACTTCAACTGTCCGGAAGATTCTGCATTCAATTTCTGTACGAAATAAATGATTTGTCTTCAAGCTATATGATTAAATGGAGGGAAAATCGAATACTAAATGATTAAACGGAGGGAAAATTATAGAATTATCAGTGATGTAAGAATAAGAATCAATGATCTCGATAATCAAGATACTAAAGAGTAAAGATGATGATTAATCAGAAAGAATTCGATAAGTTTCCAATTCTTGACCTTCAAACTGATATCGAATATGACAATGGTAACAACTACTAACAAAATGTACTTTTACGTGGACTTCTAAACATCAATATTCAATTTCTTCCTTTTCATGTCTTGGTTTCGGATATCTTGAGTTTGGGTAAGCAAAACAAGGAGTGGGTAAATACTATTTATGGCAAAATATTTTTACTAATTGGATTCACGAGTGCACACGTGGTCCATCACCCATCAATTTAGTCTCTTTGGGACTCACCTTTTTTTGTAATTGTTTTAATATATTAAGATTTACTTAAAAACAGTTTCTTTTGTAAAGTTGGAGGTGATCTTTACCCACTTCTTCATAAAATACAGATTTTTAAGTTGAAAAGATTCAAAAAAGTTGATGAGATACACTTTAATTATAGTGAGTCCAACAGTAAAAGCCACAAACCCAGCCTTGTTAGTTTGTGGTGGGCCATTAATTTTTATTAGATCTTTTTCGGATTAGAGAAACTACGACATCCGAGATTCCCAAGTCTACAACTTATATGACATAGAGAAATTATGAATTCGCAACTATATACAGTAATTCAAAATAGAAACCTTCAAAGTTAGTGATTATTTAAAGAGACTAAACACATTCTGTTTCCATCTTGCTAAGGGTAGAATATGGTCTTACTCTGCTTGCTCAAAAACTATCTATATCTATATAATAGACATCTAAAAGTGATAGTGATGATGTTTAATTAACTATATAACTTAAGCGTATAAATATACATTTATATAAAAATAAGTCGAATATGACATCATTAACGATCAAAAGACAAAGATGCCATATTTTTGTTTAATAACATAATATTATAATTTTAGCACTAAAGTTTTTATAGTGATTCTAATAATCTAAAATTAATTAATTGGCTAATTTAAAACAAACCTAGCAAATATTATTGAATTAACTATATAAACTTAAGTGCATAAATATACATTTGTGTGAAAATAAGTGAAATATGACACCAATAACGATCAAAAGACAAGATGTCATATTCTGTCTATTTATATAGTATTGTAATTTTAGCACTAAAGTTTTTATAGTAATTCCAACAATCTTAAATTAATTAATTGGCTATTTAAACCAAATCTAGCACATATATTTTCATGTTTGTTTTCATATTATTGGTTTAAAGAAGAATAAAAACCTTAAATCTAGTCTAATTAGTTTTAAAAAGAATAAAATTATTATTGAATTAACTATATAAACTTAAGTGCATAAATATACATTTGTATGAAAATAAGTGGAATATGACACCAATAACGATCAAAAGACAAGATGTCATATTCTGTCTATTTATATAGTATTGTAATTTTAGCACTAAAGTTTTTATAGTAATTCCAACAATCTTAAATTAATTAATTGACTATTTAAACCAAATCTAGCAAATATATTTTCATGTTTGTTTTCATATTATTGGTTTAAAGAAGAATAAAAACTTTAAATCTAGCCTAATTGGTTTTAAAAAGAATAAAATTATTATTAAATTAACTATATAAACTTAAGTACATAAATATACATTTGTGTGAAAATAAGTGGAATATGACACCAATAACGATCAAAAGACAAGATGCCATATTCTGTCTATTTACACAATATTGTAATTTTAGCACTTAAGTTTTTATAGTAATTCCAACGATCTTAAATTAATTAATTAACTAATTTAAACTAAACCTATCACATATATTTTCATATGTGTATTCATATTATTGGTTTAAAGAAGAATAAAAACCTTAAATCTAGCCTAATTGGTTTAAAAAGATTGAAAAATATTATTGAATAGACTATATAAACTTAAGTGCATAAATATACATTTGTGTGAAAATAAGTGGAATATGACACCAATAACGATCAAAAGACAAGATGTCATATTCTGTCTATTTACACAATATTGTAATGTTAGCACTTAAATTTTTATAGTAATTCCAACGATCTTAAATTAATTAATTAACTAATTTAAACTAAACCTATCACATATATTTTCTTATTTGTATTCATATTATTGGTTTAAAGAAGAATAAAAACCTTAAATCTAGCCTAATTGGTTTAAAAAGATTAAAAAAAATTATTGAATTAACTATATAAACTTAAGTGCATAATTATACATTTGTATGAAAATAAGTGGAATATGACACCAATAACGATCAAAAGACAAGATGTCATATTCTGTCTATTTACAAAATATTGTAATTTTAGCACTTAAGTTTTTATAGTAATTCCAACAATCTTAAATTAATTAATTAACTAATTTAAACTAAACCTATCACATATATTTTTATATTTGTATTCATATTATTGGTTTAAAGAATAATAAAAACCTTTAATTTAGCGTAATTGGTTTAAAAAGATTTAAAAAAATATTATTGAATTAACTATATAAACTTAAGTGCATAAGTATATATTTATGTGAAAATAAGTGGAATATGACACCAATAACGATCAAAAGACAAGATGTCATATTTTGTTTATTTACACAATATTGTAATTTTAGCACTTAAATTTTTATAGTAATTACAACAATCTTAAATTAATTAATTAACTAACTTAAACTAAACCTATCACATATATTTTCATATTTGTATTCATATATTATTGGTTTAAAGAAGAATAAAAACCTTTAATTTATAGTCTAATTGGTTTAAAAAGATTAAAAAAAAATATTATTAAATTAACTATATAAACTTAAGTGCATAAATATACATTTGTGTGAAAATAAGTGGAATATGACACAAATAACGATCAAAAGACAAGATGTCATATTCTGTCTATTTTCACAATAATGTAATTTTAGCACTAAAGTTTTTATAGTAATTCTAACAGTCTTAAATTAATTAATTAACTAATTTAAACCAAATCTAGCACATATATTTTCATGTCTGTGTTTGTATTATAGCACCCAAGTTTTTTTCACGGTGGAAATCCTTTAAATTTTCAAGAAGGTGTTAGTTGTATCCTAATTTTTTTTTTATTGTTTAACTACGTGGTAATTTGTACCTTGGCTTCGCTGATACAAGTACCTTGCTTTATTGTTGATTCCATACAATTCTCCTGAAATTACACAAATCCATGTAATATCAACATGTGGTAGTTAGCCAAGCTTAACATTCTTGTTAATAACAAGAGGAAACAGAGATTCTTAACATTTACTCAAAGGAGAGGAAAATAGAGATTTTACGTTTTGTTTTAGGTTAGCCTGTTGCAGAAACATAAGTCTTCAAGTGTCACGACGAAAGTTAAGTTTCCATTTTGAAATGTTTCTTCGCTTTGCCTGAATCCCAGAAACATGAGTAAGCAATAATAAACACTAATTGCTTTGGAAAAACAAAAAAACTACCAGAAGGAAAATGTACCTGGAAAACGCTAGCTTTCACCTCGTCTAACTTCCCCTGCCGCTTCAACGTTTGCATCCCAAGAACAACCATTATCAGATTCATCAAACGAAACCTCCATATATTTTCATATGTTTAAACTAAACCTATCACATATATTTTCATATGTGTATTCATATTATTGGTTTAAAGAAGAATAAAAACCTTAAATCTAGCCTAATTGGTTTAAAAAGATTGAAAAATATTATTGAATAGACTATATAAACTTAAGTGCATAAATATACATTTGTGTGAAAATAAGTGGAATATGACACCAATAACGATCAAAAGACAAGATGTCATATTCTGTCTATTTACACAATATTGTAATTTTAGCACTTAAATTTTTATAGTAATTCCAACGATCTTAAATTAATTAATTAACTAATTTAAACTAAACCTATCACATATATTTTCTTATTTGTATTCATATTATTGGTTTAAAGAAGAATAAAAACCTTAAATCTAGCCTAATTGGTTTAAAAAGATTAAAAAAAATTATTGAATTAACTATATAAACTTAAGTGCATAATTATACATTTGTATGAAAATAAGTGGAATATGACACCAATAACGATCAAAAGACAAGATGTCATATTCTGTCTATTTACAAAATATTGTAATTTTAGCACTTAAGTTTTTATAGTAATTCCAACAATCTTAAATTAATTAATTAACTAATTTAAACTAAACCTATCACATATATTTTTATATTTGTATTCATATTATTGGTTTAAAGAATAATAAAAACCTTTAATTTAGCATAATTGGTTTAAAAAGATTTAAAAAAATATTATTGAATTAACTATATAAACTTAAGTGCATAAGTATATATTTATGTGAAAATAAGTGGAATATGACACCAATAACGATCAAAAGACAAGATGTCATATTTTGTTTATTTACACAATATTGTAATTTTAGCACTTAAATTTTTATAGTAATTACAACAATCTTAAATTAATTAATTAACTAACTTAAACTAAACCTATCACATATATTTTCATATTTGTATTCATATATTATTGGTTTAAAGAAGAATAAAAACCTTTAATTTATAGTCTAATTGGTTTAAAAAGATTAAAAAAAAATATTATTAAATTAACTATATAAACTTAAGTGCATAAATATACATTTGTGTGAAAATAAGTGGAATATGACACAAATAACGATCAAAAGACAAGATGTCATATTCTGTCTATTTTCACAATAATGTAATTTTAGCACTAAAGTTTTTATAGTAATTCTAACAGTCTTAAATTAATTAATTAACTAATTTAAACCAAATCTAGCACATATATTTTCATGTCTGTGTTTGTATTATAGCACCCAAGTTTTTTTCACGGTGGAAATCCTTTAAATTTTCAAGAAGGTGTTAGTTGTATCCTAATTTTTTTTTTATTGTTTAACTACGTGGTAATTTGTACCTTGGCTTCGCTGATACAAGTACCTTGCTTTATTGTTGATTCCATACAATTCTCCTGAAATTACACAAATCCATGTAATATCAACATGTGGTAGTTAGCCAAGCTTAACATTCTTGTTAATAACAAGAGGAAACAGAGATTCTTAACATTTACTCAAAGGAGAGGAAAATAGAGATTTTACGTTTTGTTTTAGGTTAGCCTGTTGCAGAAACATAAGTCTTCAAGTGTCACGACGAAAGTTAAGTTTCCATTTTGAAATGTTTCTTCGCTTTGCCTGAATCCCAGAAACATGAGTAAGCAATAATAAACACTAATTGCTTTGGAAAAACAAAAAAAAAACTACCAGAAGGAAAATGTACCTGGAAAACGCTAGCTTTCACCTCGTCTAACTTCCCCTGC